GAGCTAAAGCTCTCGAGCGCATGGTACAAAAATTTTCCCTCGATAATAACAGGGACACGCCAAGGTACAAAATTCTGGTTACATTTATGGTACACGCGCTGCGCGAGCTCCTCCACAGCTATATCACATATCGTACGTACCAACACGGTACCACTCCTTGGAGAGTACGAGTACCCGTACTCGTACCGTCGTACGCGGGGTGCTAGACTTATAGAAAACCATACCATTGGGCAAGTGGAGAAAACAGAACAGTTTGATACAGATACAACTTATCTTCAATCTGGGGTCATTATTACCATAGTTATGTGTACGAGTACGATGCCGCATAGGTGGGTGAGGGAGCGATTGCAGAACATTGGTGTGTCATTCTGGTGTGCTTTTGCCACTCTTGTACCTGTCTGTGTGCTAATTAGTGAGCCCGTAATAGCTAGGGTTGCAACCGATGCGGTGCTCGATGTAGGGTTTCGATTGATGACACGCCAAACTGATTGATACCAATTCCGAGTGCTTTTACTCGTACTCGTATTCGTACTTGTAAGAAATAGAAGCACGAGTACGCAGTCATTGAATGAGCCAGCCATCAATGTGTTTGTGTTCAATCAACATTGAACGATGTTGAATATTGCTATATTCTTTTGCTCGTTTTTTTCTTCTGTTCTCACCGTTCGATTCTACGAGCAAGCAAGCTCAACGATTCTCCGTTGCTTGTCCCGTACTAGACGTCTCCTGCAGCGTTTGCCGTGATTGGGCAGAAATTTGGTGAGCAGGTCCGTGTAGTTCGCTTCCCCCCCGGGGTATCCCCCCCCAAAGCCCGATTTCTTGGGGTCGCAATCCTCGATCCAGACGGCGCCGTCGGCACGGACCCGAAGGAAGCAGATCCAGGGGTCCTCCACCACTCGGTAGACGTTGCGGGCTTGCCGCGCGAGCGTCGTTGCGTTGCTGCTGCTGTTGCTGCTGCTTTTCTCGACGGTTGCCGGTGTTGTGGCTGTCTCCGTTTCTGTTTCACCCCGTTGTGATCCCAGCCCCTTTATGGCCTCGAATATGCTCGCGTTGAGAAAGGTTTCCGAGTGCAGAACCATGCCCTTGTTGCGGTTTGGATCGGTCGCATAGAGCTCAATGTTCTCGAAACGCTTCGATGCCCATATCTCAACCGCCTCGTAGGGGCCATAGATCATCCGGTCGTTGACGGGGTACTTGGCAAAGCCGGGAACCACCGAGGTTGAATAGATTTCGTTGCCGCCGCCCTTCGAGCTGGTCGAAGTGCCCAGTTCCGGAACGCGATAGATGTCGATTGGGGTGATGTACACCACGTCATTCCTCAACATGGCCACCCTGTCGTACCGCTTGTTGGTTTGCTGGTGCTTCTTGCGCTGGTGCTGGTGTTGCTGGTTCTGCTGCTGGTGACCCTCCATTGCTTCCCACACGGCCTGAACGGAATGCCACTGCCGAATGATGTTGTCGAGCGTCCCAGGGTACTCGTAGGTCGGCTCTTTGTAGGGGTAGAAGAGATAGTTTCCGGTGTCCTTGTCCCTGGCCATCCGGTACCGCTTGAGGTAGTGTTCGAAGCGCGCATCCCAAAAGGTCTCGTTCGTATCTGAGACAAAGGCAACGGTTGGCATTGGTGGCGGCATTGTCGGGAGTGGGAACGCTGCTGTGGTTGTGGTTGTGATTCGTCCGTCGTTGATCGTGTCCGTTGCAGGGCGCTGTTGTTGGTGGCGGTTCTCCCAGTGTTCATTGTGCACGGTCTCAACCACACCCCTGAGCAGAAGAACGTCGTCGGGGCGGACAGACCCACCACGGCCCGACCTCCCGGCTTCCTCGGAATCCTGCTTGTAGTAGTGTACAAAGTAGTCGCACCCGTAGGCAGCATTGGGCCGGATGACGTTCGCTTCGAGCGAGGGGAGGACGTATTTCTTGAAGGAACGGGGCAGCCCGAAGAGCCCGATAGCGCAGTTGCTCCGTTCCTTTTCCCTCGGGGAGGAATGCCGGTGACGGCGTTGGATAGCAGCAGTGGTGGAGTTTCCGTTGTTGCTGCTGTTGCTGTTGCTGTTGCTGGTGCTGTTGCTGCTGTTCATGTTTCTGTTTCTGTTCGTGTTCTTGTCGATTTTGGTTTTTATTCCGGTTCGTGCTGCTGCCGGCGCCAGAGCCGACGGCACTGGTGCTGTCAACATTTGGCTCGTGAGAATCTTCCGGTAGGAAACTGCTAGAAACCAGCCCGAAGTTCCGATCACTCCATAGAGCATCGTCCAGAACAGAACACGCACGCGGCGGCGACGGAAAGCGCGGATATTTTGGTGCCGATTCCGTGAAACTGGAACGGGAACAGAAACTGTTGCAGTTCCAGCTGCAGTTCCAGTTCCGGTTCCAGTTGCCGCACTTGTGCTCTGTCTAATGCTCGTCGGATGCAACAGTCTTTGCTGTTGCCGCCGCTGGTGATCTTTCCTTCGACTAGTTGTTGGGCTGGGGCCAGAGACGGCCTCCATCGTTGTCGCTGTCGCTGTCGCTGTCGCTGTGGTGTGCTGTGGTTTGATTTGATTTGATATGCTATGCTATGCTATGATATTGATAATATGCTATGATATGATTCCATTCCATTCCCTTCGATTTTATTCGATTTGGTTTGATTTTGTTTTGATTTGTCCGTTGGAGGCCAATGGATGGATGCCTAGCCTAATCAGATGTGGACCATTAACCCATTTCCTTGTTTTACAAATGACATAAACTCATTTCCTTGCATATTTCCGTTTTTAGTGAATTGTAAACTCATTTCCTTGCATTCKGCCATTTTGTAAACTCATTTCCTTGCATTCTCTAAGTAATCAAAATTCTGCCGTTAAACAACGGGAAAAACCAATGCTACCACCACAACGCAGTACACCAGCACAAAACAACAGTCATAAATTCAACAAAGCAACAACCAAAAGACCAAGAACCACCATGGTTGGAGGACACTGGTGATGCTAGTACGGAACGCTGGGAATGCTTACAAGGTGTGGAGGATGCTGATGCAGAGGTTATGCAGAGGATGCTGATGCGGACGTTGTTTAACGGTAGAATTTTGATTACTCAGAGAATGCAAGGAAATGAGTTTACAAAATGGCCGAATGCAAGGAAATGAGTTTACAATTCACTAAAAACGGAAAGATGCAAGGAAATGAGTTTATGTCATTTGTAAAACAAGGAAATGAGTTAATTCT